CATGAATCTTCCAACAACAGTCATATAAAACATTCCTCGATATTTCTTCATCGTATTAAAAGAAAGAGTGAAAATTACAAGATTTTTGGTTTATGCAGTGCTTAACATTGGACCCACAAGACTCTAGCGGCATATAATAATACCAGAGTAAGGTTGACAGAGAATTGGTTATGGAAAAAGCTTGAGTCTTGTAAGAATATGTTTTAAGAAAGTTGTCTTTTTATGATATAGGATTGAGTGGAATAGACGGCCATGGCGCCATACTGAACGATCCTTGGACGTTACTGTAATGCTGCCATAACCGTACAATCTTTGGACCCTTCATTAAAGGTGACACCAAGCTTGGCCCGTATTGCCAAAAGCAGTGTCCCTCTCCCTCTATCTCCAAGTGTCCTGTGCACTCATTCTCCACCGACAATTACGACCTTGAAAAAAACAAGGAGAAAAGACATTTCACCATTTAGGCATTTAAATTTTACACCGTATGTTTGTGTTACTGGTTCGTGTGAATCACGTTCGCTCGAGGTTTCTTGAAACAATTTATAAAGCAGTCAAAAGTCATCTATCAACAGTTTTTAATTCATATGATAGCTCATTCAACTCAAGGCAGACATAAAAAAATTGTGTTGTACCCCGTAATTAAAACTTTTTAGTTGAGGAAAGGGAAATGCAATTTTTCTTCTACGCGACATCACATGTGAGGACGTACTATGCTTGGATGTTACAAAAGAAAACAGTATTTCAACCGAAATATTTAATGTGTATGAAGTTCAAGCTATCTTGAGTTTGAATGAGGATATTAAACATTGCTCTGCTGAGAATGTAGCAGTAACTTCTCATTTCACCTTGTCTCAGCCAAACATGTGACATTGCATCTAACGTACTATTCTCTTGACTACTTCTGCAATGAGTTCTGTACAAAAACTGCAAACGTGGACATGAGTCATACTTCCGTCATATATGCCTTAGAAACTTGTCTGTTTGCACATCATTGATATGTAAATAACTGTTAACCGAAGAGTCGTTTTAACTCCAAGGGAGCATAACCACTATCTTCATTGGTTTTCTTGTAATGATGTGTAATTCTTCACCATTAAAATCTCCCCGCATAGCTTTCGTGGGACTTGCTCCAGTTTAGTACCCTCTTGCCATGCTTGCCCAACTGAGACCCCAGGTCCTAGATGGCGAACATACATAACAATTTGATCGTTGAGAGGATATGGATGCTTAGCTGCATAAACAAAAGCCAATAAAATTGGGGCATAAGAGGACTTTGAAAAATGACATGATCACCCAGCTTGCTTCTAGTGTATTACAGGGCAAACCAATGAAGAGGTAGGTATATAGAAAATAATGCAACAAGAATACACCATGCAGACATCTATCGCAAAAACTTAAATTTTAACATATAGAAGCAATACAAATTCTTTAAAAAATGTAACGTGTACTTTCAGAACTGAGACTATCTCTTTACAAAAGATATAAGTTGCTACCTGGTCTTGGAAAACCTGATGGGAGCTCTTTGATATCATATAGTCCATCCCCAAATTCATATGCTAAATCGCAAGGCTGTTCAGTTGACATCACTTCCTTAAGTTGTCTCACCGCAAAATACAAAGGGGAGAAGGAGTCTGCAACTGCAGCCAAAAGTGATCCACCTGTGAAGTTGAGGAATTAAAAATATCTAAGTTAATATTAAGGACAACCAAGATTTAAGCTTAAAACAATGAATCACAAAAACATAAAAGAAAAAAACAAAACCAGGCCCCAGAAATGAATTCATCAAGAGTCCTTGATTAAATCACAATTATATCAACATCTTAAAGAAAAACAGCAAGATTATACAACCAATTCATTCTTCTTGTATATGTCTATTACAGATTATTGAAGGATTAAGGCTCAGAAACCATGATTTAACAACCAACAGAGTGACCACTAAACAGGTAAAGATGTAAACAAACTATGAAAATGGACATGTACAGTATTTTTCGATCTACTGATGGACATCCATATATAAACTTATTTTCACGGTTTCAACCTTGGTGAAAAGAAAAAGCGTATAAATTCAATATTATGGATCAATTTGAAGTATTGTGTACGAGAAGAAGAATAAATTACTTCTATCACTAACCTGTTGCATGCGAAATGTGGGTGACTAAGTGTAGTCTATCTAAACAATATGAACAATCAAGAAACTATATAAACATAATATTTGAATTTGGATATGATAAAAAATCATTGAGTTACTGTTACATGCTCAACTGATCTATGTTTTATACATATGAAAAAGGGAATAGTGCATTACAAGGAAAAGTTATATCCTATAACACTCAATACACCCAAAAAGCAGCTTTATGAATGTTGTACAATTCAATAACAGTCATAATAATATGCACCAATATATATATATATATATATATATATATATTATAAATTGCTATTAATACACATCTCAATTACAATATTGCCAAAAAGGGACTAATCAAGTAACATAGAACATAGTGGGTTACAATGAGCAGTAGTTACAGAAATTGTGAACATAATGGTTCAGGGCTCCTTAGAGATATTGTCGTTGTTCTGGAAGTATTAGGTGTGATGAACCTTGCCCTCTAAAGCTCACAATATTATTTTGGACATTTATGATCCATTATAGAACAGGGAACGTGACTTATATCAAAGCACAGAACTATCCACATGGAGAAATTATCTATATATGTTTCTGAAAAAAATTATCATTTTTATTAAGAGAAACAATAAACATGAAATGAAGAGAGAACGCATATCATATAAATAAATTGAATAATACAAAAGATAAATTAATACACAAACATATCTCATGTACCCTTTGGTTTTCATGTAATTATTTTGTTTTAAAAGTTTAAATTATTTTTGTAGTAGCTAGTAGAGATAAATGAGATTTACCAATGAATACAAGATTATTCCGTCTAGTTCAAATTTTACTAATTTAAAAACCCAAGGTCAAACCTCCACCTACAATTAATTCAAAATTCACATTATCCAAATAATGTTATGTTAAACATTTTTAATTATAAAATAAGGTTATACATATCTAAATTACAATCCAGCAACCAAGCACAATCTTCTACCCAGTCCGTCCTATCATTAACTTGCATTTCTCAAACCATGAAAAGTCAAAAATTCATGGATTCTTGATTTAGGTGCTTTTGGTCATATTTATGGTTATACTTCTATGTTCTCCTCTCTTTCTTCTTCCAAATTTCCCCATTTTATTACATTAGCCAATGAGCCCGAAGTGTGGCCAGACTAGTGATTATAGACTTATGTTGTCACTATTTATTTTTTCAATTTTTCTAACAACAAAAACGAAATGCCCATCTTCCAATGATTCAGAAATTTGGATTATGTGCTAGTATTCAGGTAAAACATATAAGTATATAGTTGAATTATTCTTTTACCCACATGTTATGTAGTTGGACTTCACTGTGCATTCACAATTAGACTAACAATACAACCTTGATGTGCATATTTCACAAAGTGCCACTACATTTAAGATTGACGAGCATATATTTCACTAAAATTATTAATTGTGTAAAGGTATCCATGCCATTCTATGCCAAAATCAGAGAAACTTACTTATGATTCGCCCGTAGGCCTCTCCATCCTTGCAGGTAAATATGGCCTTCAAAAGTGTCAAAAGAGCCAATTCTTCAAATGAAAGCAGTAACTACTTCGTGTACAAGAGCAAAAAGGTAATAAGGAGATGATAAATTTACCTTTGTAAAGGAATTTATCCAGGAAATTATCGTTGGTCCTATGTAACAAAAGTTTAACATTGACATTAGTTTTCAAACTTCAAGATGCTAAAATTCAAAAACTAATACACACGAAACCATGACAAATACTTTCAACACAAAAAGACACGTTGAGGGCAGCATTAGTATTGGAACACGAAAGAAAGTAGGTCAAATTTACAGGAAAATAAACATTTCCTAATTCAAATGAAATGTATTTAAGAATCCAGTAAACTGAAGTAGGAAAAATCATATACATATACGAAGAGGGAAGAGATTTTGAGCACTAGGATTGAACTGTGCATAGTATTAGGAAGCAAAGTAGTCCATCCCTACATGTGGACGTGAGAAAAGAATGGGGCAATAGGAAACAAAATGCATTCATTCATTGTGTGATATTTAATCTAACCTAGACAACTCCCAAACAACAACGATGATCAAATCAGTTCACTAACCTCCACTTGTTCTGCAGTTATAATATTCAACCACAACATCATCACTGTTAGAGCTGGACAACAGTGTAGATGCACTTTTCTTCACCAACTTGGGATCCTCATACCGTGTACCAGCTATCTGCCAAGCCATTGACACAAGCCTGCGCAAAAATTTCCAGTGTTAGGCACTGTAAATGCAGAACAAAAGCATTAGAAGGAAAGAAAAATAAGGAGTGAAAATACCTAGGTTTTAACAATCGCAGTAGTCGATGTCGCCTTTCCTCAGGAATATCTTCAATCTTTTTCCTGAACATACAGAGTGGGTGTGTAACTGTAACTGAGAGAGAATAAGAATTAAAGCTGTAGCATGCATGTATGAGTTACCATAGGTATGCAGAGGGATTATAGGAAGATGGGTCCAAAGGAATCAAGCCCTTAGGAGGATCAATGAATGTCACAACGTCTTGTTCATCCAAGTAAGTCTTTTTACCACTTGGAAGAATTCGAAAGGGTTTATCATCCCAAGGTGACACATTCAATTGATTGCTTCGAGAACCAACCCCACAAGTAGCACCTAAAACCCCATTTCTGTACAATCGCAAACCTACAAAATGCAATACAAATTAATTCAACACAATTAATTTCAGTTCAGTTTAGGGTTTAAGGTAAAACTGTCAAGTGATGCACCAACGCACCTCTCGACCGTGGAAGCATTCGGCAGGAAAAGGAACAAGGAATCGGAGGGTGATGATGCTGCCGCCACCATCTCGGTGGTGTCAACGTGAGTGTCGCCGCTGTTCCTGCCATCAAAATCTAAACGCCAGCACGCTGCGTCAGGGGTTTGTGGATAAATAAAAACGCACCAAAACGAAGTGTCGTTTAGTTACTGTGCTAGAAAAACGACATATTGAGGTCCTTTCTTCTTATCCTTTTTACGTGCTTTTCTACTTTAGCACTGAGAGTGTCTGCGATCTATCTGAAGAAATGCTGCTTCAAATTCAAACGAGGCAATTCGGTGCAGCGTGTCCACGGGTGAAACTTGCACCCGCAAGCGCAACCAAGAGAAGTGGCTCTGTTTGGTTGAGAAGGAGGAATGGAGGCCCAAAATGCTCGGTGGCGGCGGCGTCGACGGCCCAATTGGAAGTGAAGAGTGAGAGCCAAACGAAGCCGTTTCCGGCGGAGGTGTCGAGAACCCTGATGGAGTTGGCTAAGGTGGGGACGCTATGTACGTTGACCGAAGAGGGTTTGCCTCTGGGCACTGGGGTTCGATTCGCGGTGGAACCCGAACATGGTACTCCCTTGTTCTGCTTCAATTCCAGTGATAACACTAACATCCCCTCTTCTCTTCATGTTCAGGTACCTCATTTTCCATCTCTTTCTCTATCTGTCCCACTGCTAATTTATCTATTCGATAAGTTTTTTTCATGTCTGTGTTTGTTTATCAGTTTGAACAATTCGGATTGCGCACTCCTCAATGCACTGTTCAAGGAACTCTTACCAAACCACAGGATCCAAAGGTAAGTGTAACTCGCTAGTTTTAGTTAAGTTCCCTGTCAAATTAAATCAGGATCATGATCATGAATAAAAGTTCATCACTTTGTGTGCATGTGTATATGCAGCGTTTTGTTTCTGTGTGGAGGAAGAGGTTTGGAGAAGAAGTGGATCAAGATTCTATTTACATTATTGCTGTGGATCGGGTACTGCAATTGGAAGACATTCAGGAGGTAGAACTCATTACCTAACCTTGATCTAACCTTGAAATGGAACTTAATTAGACCTGCTTGGGTGATTCTCTTCGTGAACACTTCTTAGAAGAAAATAAGAAGAAAGATCAAATAAACTTCTCCATAAGTTAAAATCATCTTTTACAGAAGTTATGATATAGTTTTTACTAATTAACCTTTGCATAGTTTAATTCTAACTATTGGGAAGAAATCTTCCCATCAGCCCTTTAGACTCTTATGCTCGCGAATGATGATTTGCATTGCAACTGTAGGATGGTGTTTGGGTAACCTCTTCAGATTACAGCAATGCTCAACCGGATCCTCTTCGAGACTCTGCACACAACTTAGTAACTGAGATCAACACCAACAACATGGAAGACATTACTCGCTTCTGCAATGTCTACGTTGATTTGGATTTCCTGGTTTGTCACCAACACTCCTCTATCTATGTTTATTTGTCTTTTAAATATTGTCATCCAAAACCAAAACGCATTGCTTGTGTTGACTTTGAATGGATTTGGAAGGTTTCGGAGGCAAAGATGATATGGGTTGATCGCTTGGGTTTTGACATGCGGTTGTCGTCCCCTCACAGAGGCGTGTTTGAGGTCCGCATTCCCTTCCCTAGAGAAGTCACGGATGAAAAAGGTGCCAAGTCTACGTTTAATTGTATGTCACAACTCGCTTGGGAGGTTGAAAGAAACTTCCAACATCCACACTTTCCAAAGGTTCAAGAGTTGAAGCCAGTCAGGTCCTCTTTGCTGTAACCCACGTACCAATTCTTCAATCTTTGTCAAACATCATCCATCCTAGCTTGTTTTTCAAAGAATAATATGACAATGTTTGTCGCACCTTCATTCAATAGCCTGCTCCATTGCATCTACCATTGTGTTTCAAAACTCAGGTTGAATATCCTCAATAGGCCATGATTTTGAGACCAAATCTAGGTCGAATGGACTAAAATAGGCGTTTGCGTATTCATTAATAAACTCATATATCTATAATCGTTACATTTATTTTACCAGCAGTATACAGACATTTGCTGGCTAAATAAATTTATATATCTAATTTCTTGAGAAGCATTTATTCATGTAAATAAGTAAATAAGTCTTGTCTATGTCTACCCTTTTTTTTGAAAAAGATGGAACAGCCAAATTTGCAAAGCCAAAAGATAACATAGTTACCAAAGTCAGTCATTTTTATTGAAAGTAATTAATTAAGCTGTAACAGTGATAACATACAAGTAACAGTGAAGGTCTACTTGCAAACGGTTTGGAACTTTGTACATACACATTACCATAGAGTACATTAACATTCATTCTGGCAAGTACAAGGAAAAGAAATCATATAGCTGCTAGAGTTGAGCGAAATTGATGACTGAGATATTTTATTTTACTAATTAAGTCTGCCTGTTTAATGCTACTACCCTTCCTCTGCTTGGTCTGAAACAGAGACGTAATCTTGTTCTCCAAACTCTCTGCTGAGTATTTCATAAGTTTGTCAACCTTAGCATCATTTTCAGTTGTCAAACAATAGTTTTTGACATAGGCCCTGTAGATTGGTATAATACCTTTGGTCAAATGCTTGCATACATTTTCCCGTAGGATCTCATCGGAGATTACCCAATCAGATTGCTTCTTGTATCCTTCCTCAAAAGCTAGATTAAAAGCAGTTAGTCTCTTTGCCAAGTCTTGGCATGTCACACTTGCACTGGAGGGTGAAAGTATGTCTTTTTGTACTACAAGAATAGACAGAAGCTTTCCCCAACTGTTCCTCAAATAAAGTGCTGCATAATAGTCCCTATATTGTTCGTGTGCTCTTAACCAAGAATCCCCCATCATATTTCCAAGTACAGTACCCCTCAAATTGCAGAAATGACAGTGATTATTCATCATAAAAAGGTAGGACAGGGTGATATCTTCATAGGTCTTCGACCAAGCATCCAAATTAACCGCAACCTCCTTAATTGCGTTATACATTTGGCACAAAACGATACCCTCTTCGTAGGCTTCCTTTCTCCAACTAAGATGTATTCTCACAACTTGTGTCAAATGTGGCCTATAAGCATCCCCAAGCAGTTGATTGCAGTAATCCGTCACAAAGCTCACCAGCCTGGGAACGCTGCCATCTGGGGGAGGAGAAGTTGGCCTTTGCAACTTCACTTGTGCTGGAAGTTGCCAGAATATCTCATTGGCACCATTGACAACTTTTTTTATAAGATCCTCTATCACAGTTCTAATTTCTTTACATGCTTTCGCACTGAAAAGTTGGTTGAATTTTAGCCTCAGATCATTTAAGACCCTGAATATCGACAGCAGGTTCAACAATTTGAAGGGGTCATTTTTCCTCTCAGTAACCATCCTTCCAAATCGAATAAAAGAAAAAATTCCTGATTCAATGGCAATCTTTGCAAAACACCCCATGCATGCTTCTGGACCAATTTTCTCAAAGACAATAGCAGAAAACCTCCACTCAATCTCAAGCAGTTGCTTAGCAAACAACTCCAAATGGTAGCCCCATTGGTCTATGTAACTCTCTATAGACTGGACAGCCTCAATTTCAGTTGTTGGAATATCCAAGTAACTCAAATCTAAAGTCTTCAAACTTCTCCGAGCATTCATGCCTCGAACTTCAACATATATGGATTGACACTTGTGTAGCCTGCCATTAGCATTTAATCTCTGTGTGATGGAATGCAACTTCCCTGCCAAAGAACTTGTCAATGGCAAAATATGTTTGGTAATACTGGTTTTCTGGCCAGTGTGTGGTGATGTCAATGAAACCAAAGGAAGAGGCACGGAGTTTGCTGTCAGAAGCCTGTGGAACTCGAGCTCTAGTTTGTCAAAAGCAGTACTAAGAAGGCCTTCATCAAGACGAGCACCTTCCTCCTTGACCTGCAATTCTTGCAATATTCTGAGATATTTCTTCACCTTCAACAAGCAAAGCTCATTGGTTATTGCTTTGTCTTGAAAGAGCTCATAAATGTCTTTCAGCCAGCCAACTGTCAACCTGCAATTGTCACTAAGAAGCTTCAGTGCTTCCTCAAGCTTCTTTGTATCTGAGACATATGTGTGTAGATCAGAAGAGGGATCTGTTAAGAGAGATTGCTCCAACCGATGAACAGAGTCAAGAACCTTAAGGAGTGCAGCAGCAGAACATAGAACACTGTCTATACCGTGCTCAATGTTGACAAATGAGCACTTTTGCATTGAGATGGGTCTAAGGGAAGCTTGCAAAGCCAGATATCTCTGTTTAAGTAGCTCCAATCTCGACCCAGATTCATCTAGTGCAGAGGCAATGGCGCTTGATGTTTCCAAACTAGTTGTCAAACACTTTCTGGCTGCTTCAAGATTCTCCTTGTTCTCCATATCAATGGCAAATCAAGTGCTGACTCGAAATGATTACTAGTTTGGCTTTTAGATTTACAACTAAACATAAAAGTTTGGTCCAATGAAAAAGATAATATTTGTTGGTTTCTTGTTCATCGTCCCACTCACATCTCTTCACCAAACTCAACAAACAAAGTAAAAGGGAGTTAAGGCTAACTTCACTTACAATACAAAAAATCTCTGTAATGTCAACCACCAGGTGGTAGAACTTCCTTGAATTAGGGCACCATATGCACAACTAATTTCTCAAGCCATTGTTTATTATTCATTCCTCATCTTGTTTTGTGTTAGTCAATCCTAGCTTTCATGTTTCATTTGACGCAATACCAGCTACTCTAACTCTTCCTTCAACTGCCTCATCGATCAGCCTAAAACTTAAAACCGAATTCTTATTTTTTCTGCACTCAATTGCTATCGTCGAGTTTAATTTCTCTTGTAATAATCTTGATTCAGATCTCGCAGTGATAAAGCAAACATGTGACCAAGTTGTTCTTATTTTACACGTACACTAGTTTGATTATCAAAGACAACTCGGTCCAGGTCAAAAGTTTGATTCATTGTTTAACTTACTATTGATCTTAATCTTTCATTTTATTTTAAATTGACCACTAACATTAATTGATTACTCTAGATTTTTAAAGGGACTAAAATGAAAAAAATAACATTTTTGCAATAATAATAATAATAATAATAATAATAATAATAATAATAAAATAACAT